ATACTCAACTTGATTAGTTTTAATTCACCTAATCATCATGCAATGTCTACAACAATCAAGACTATCCTCCACCGATAGCCCAAAGCAAATATTTCTAAACAGATAATAAATGCGTCAAACAGATAATTTATCTACATTTTTAAAGGTGAGTGATTAGTAAATCCAACTCTATCAATAAATCTCATAATAAGCCAATTTCATTATTTTCATCCCAAATTTCATATTTCACAATGAAATCATTCATTACACTAATGACCCAATAAAATCCAAATATGGCATTTCTCCCAATTTTTCCAAATATTGATCCAATAGTCTAAATATCAACAATAAATATCACTAATCTCAGAATTCAATTTCAAAACCTATTTGGATAATGTTCAAATTCAAATTCAAATTCAAATGGTCATGCCACATGGGCGCCCATTACTAACATCTCCCACTCCCACATGAGTTGGCATGACACTGCCACATCTCTATCTCAATCTCCCCAAATATTGAACAATCTCATACTAGCCAATGAACCATGCGACCGCTGAGAACACCTGTATGTAGGAACTCTATACTAGAAACTCAATATGAACTAGCATAGAGATATCAACCCCAAAAGAATAAAAATAGTGTCTCATGTACCCAGACCCATCTAGCTACATCGTAGTCACTAAAAATTATTTTTTGTGATGATTTTTTATATATGTCGTTAAAAATTAATAATTAGTGACTTTTTTTGTCACGATTTTTATAAATTGTCGCTAAAATTTAAATTAGTGACGTTTTTCTGTGATAAATTTTTTAAACAGTCGCTAAAAGTTGAAAATTATTGACGTGTTTTTGTGACGATTTTTTTAAGTTGTCGCTAGAACTTATAATTATTGACATTTTTTATGATGAAAATTTTAAATTGTCGCTGAAAATTAATAATTAGTGACATTTTTTAATAGTGTTTAATGTAAAACACCATTAATTATCATAGGACCTATAGAATAATAGATTCACCTATTAAGAGCTAGACGTAAGTCTCCTTTTAAAAAATAACAATAAAGCGTTACAATGCTTTACCAACTTAGTTGTTATTTATATAGGGTAAATTACACTTTGGATTCCTGCACTTTGCACCAAATCTCACTTTAGTCTTTACACATAAAATCATAACAATCAACCCCCAACACTTCTAGTTAAATTTCACTTTGGTCCCTACACATGAAATCGTGATAGTTTACCCCTTGCATTTTTACTCAAATCTCACTTTAGTCCCTACATAAGACATCAAGTTTTGCGCATAGGTAAACCAATGCACCCTGTGCATCACCATCCTCAACTTCTGCTTTACGTTCGGCTTGAATATGGTTGTGCAGATCCGTGCGGATGAAACCAACATTCTCATAAGACCCGGACTGATTTACCATATAGTCCATGATTTGGCTAGTCTTCACACCGACATTGCGCATAGCCATTGCTTGAGCTTTGTCACCGCTGTTTAAACTGCGATGTGACCTCAGATACATCACACAGTGTTGTTCCGTCAATTCATGGTTGTGGTCTGCGACGAAGTGCGTCACAACATACTTTCCCCCTTCACCAGCATCCGCATCGTACCGTATGCGAAATTGGGCTTTGCAACCTACTCTTGTTAGTGCCTTGGGAGCTCTACTCTTCTCAGCAACACGGTCCAAGTATTTTGGTAATCTCTGACCTTCCCTTGAACACAACCACAGCCTACTAACGACCTTTCCCTCTTTATTTGTGTTAAATCTGGATTTTCGTATACTAAATCCCTTAGCTTTAGCATACGCATTATAGAAATCTTCTCCATCTTTGACCGAATCAAATTTCTGTTCCAGAATAGTACGTTCAACATCACCAACTATGTCATTGCGATGAGCATCATCATCCATTTCTTTTTTCACATCGGCTCCGCCATCTTCAACGTTCATGTTGGTTGCTTCTTCATTGCTCGGACCAGCTTCGCAACCATGATCAGGTTCTGCCCGACTTTCATTCATCAAACGAATGTCATCTGCTTCATTTGGAATGTCATAATCATCACCTTCCATTTTAACTTCCGCTGGGGCCATACTGCACATGACATTACTACAAACAATTACTTGATGACCGAAAATTGTTAACATAAACACAAACATGACATTTTCACACGGTTTACCTGTTTGTGCAAACACAAACACTTGCTTGAGAAAGAGAAAGAGAAAGGCTAGCTGCCAATGGAGGGGTTTCCATTGGAGCGAAGCGTAGAGCGGTTGAAGTTAGGATGGGGGTTTAGTTGAGGGAAAATAGTTGAAGTGAACGGGCCAGAGAGACAGAGAGGGAGACAGAGAGAGAGAGACAGCTCCATACCTCATATCTAGTTCGAGAGAAGGGCTTCACTTCAGCAATGGAACCAACACAGCCTTGTAGTTACGTTGTTGTTGGAAATCGCCCGTTATACTGTTCTCTACAGAGCTTCGTCAATGGAACGAACCCAACAGGGGCTTCTCCCTGTTAATGGAAATCAACAGTTACACTGACTCAACCTTACACAGAGAGGAGAACAGAGAGAGATAGAGACGAAATACAGAGAGTGAGTGGGATGCAATCATGCAAATACAAGCATTAACCGGTTGCTCCGATTTCAACTTTTTTACGATTAAACAATTCAATGATCTCGATCAATTATTGTAATCTAACGGCTAACAATTGGGTTGCATATGGTGTGCAACCTTAAAGGGGTTGCACACTTAAGCAGGACCCTAGGTTAATAGCTTTTAATGTCTATCACTTTTTAAAGTCACTTTTTTAACAGAGTGAGAGATTAAAAAAAAAAAAATAATTGTTGATTATTAACAAATTTTGTTAAAATACGAATTATTCTTTGTAGTTTTAAAAATTATATTTCATTTTTTAAGATTTTTAATTTTATAAAAAATTATTTATTTTATTAATAAATAATGAAATCAATCAACTATTTTTAATAATATTAAAAATATGTTTCAATTAATAATTTAGATAATTTTATTACTGTATCAAAAATTAATTATGAATTTTATTTTTTAATTAATTCTATTAAATAAAAAATTTCTGATAAAGGAGTATTTTTAATTTTCTAAATCACGAGAGGTAATTTATATTTTAAGTAAATATCAAAAAATGTATTTATAATTTACCCTAAGTTTCGGTGTCTATCACTTTTTTTAACGGAGTGAGAGATTAAAAAAAGAAAAATGATATATAAATTCATTTTGTAAACTCATTTTTATATTTAATTATATGTAATAGAGATGATCGGCTAATAATTAAAAAAATATATATAAGAGAGGAAGTTGTCTACATATTTTAATTGATTGATACCTTATTTAAAAAGTGACTTTTTGACTTTGGTTTGAATTTACTTTTAGAAAATTAAATTTTTTTTTTCATGTTTTTTTTTTGTTTTCATTGATTTTTTAAGTATTTTTTTTAATTTTTAAATACACCTAACATAAATATTCTTAAAAAATATAACATTTGTGAAAAAATATTTTAAAAATTCACTAAATATCAAAAATACAAAAAAATATAAATAAAAATAAAAATTCAATATATTTTCTTATTCTTATCTATTTATTGATTTTTTAAAAATATTTTACTTTTAGATAAGGTACATCTAAAAAGTAGAAAAAAGTTAAAATTTTTAAAATATTCAATAAAAATAAAAAAATATATAAAAAATAAAAAATTCAATTTTGAGAAAATTAAATTCACAAAACCAGATGAATGTTAAAAATAAAAAGAGAGAAAGCCTCCAAATTGAGGCCTGGCCCAAGCCCACTCAAAATGGGCCTAATACTTCATCTTAAATCGCAGCCAGAGAACTGTCGAGAGAACTTCCGGCACTTATCCAACTAATTTTACTGGTCGTGCACTCGATTACCTCCACGTGGCAGCAATCCACGATACGTTCTCTTGGAAGTTTGAGCCCACACACACGCAAAACAAAACAGGGACACACATGTCAATACTCAAATTCTCTTACCCTCCCCCCAAAATCCCAATTATTACATTTCGCGCTTTCCCTCTTAAAATTCCATTACGAGCCGCTTCATCTCCTCTAGGGTTTCAAAAATTCACACACACTCTCTCTCTCTCTCTCTGGGAATTGGATCGATCGATTTTCTTCAACTTTCTTCTCAAATTTCTCTGGAAAATTTCTAAAATGGCGATCAATTTGACGGAAGGAGCAGTAGCGATGCTGACGAGCGGAGAGCAAGGGAGCGATGTGAAGCCAGTGCTTCAAGTGGCGGACCTGAGGTTGGTGAACACGCAGAACCAGAGCAACGAGAGGTATCGTATCTTGCTCTCCGATGGTTCGCATCTCCAGCAAGGTAGACTTAATAATGTATAAGAGATTAATAATTGCAGAAGATATGGGAGATAGAGTTATTTTATATATTTTAATTGATTGATACCTTATTTAAAAAGTGACTTTTTGACTTTGGTTTGAATTTTTTGAATTTACTTCTCAAAAAATTAAAAAAAAAATTCGTGTTTTTTTTTGTTTTTTCATTGATTTTTTTAAATATTCTAAGTATTTTTTTTTTAATTTTTAAATACACCTAACATAAATATACTTAAAAAATATAACATTTGTGAAAAGATATTTTTAAAATTCAATAAATATCAAAAATACAAAATAAAAATAAAAATAAAAATTCAATATATTTTCGTATTCTTGTCTATTTATTGATTTTTTTAAATAGTTTACTTTTAGATAAGGTACATCTAAAAAGTAGAAAAAAATTAAAAATTTAAAAATATTCACTAAAAATAAAAACAACTATAAAAAATAAAAAGTTTAATTTTGAGAAAGTTAAATTCAGAAAATTTAAACAAAACCAGATGAATGTTAAAAATAAAAATAGAAAAAACCTCAAAATTGAGGCCTGGCCCAAGCCCACTCAAAATGAGCCTAATACATCATCTTAATCGTAACAAGAGAACTGTCGAGAACTTCCGGCACTGATCCAACTGATTGACGGTTCGTGCACTCGATTACCTCCACGTGGCAGCAATCCACGATACCTTCACAAAACAAAACAGGGACACACATGTCAATACTCAAGTCCTCTAACCCTCCCCCCAAAATCCCAATATTACATTTCGCGCTTTCCCTCTTAAAATTCCATTACGAGCCGCTTCATCTCCTCTAGGGTTTCAAAAATTCACACACACTCTCTCTCTCTCTCTCTGGGAATTGGATCGATCGATTTTCTTCAACTTTCTTCTCAATTTTCTCGGGGAAATTTCTAAAATGGCAATCAATTTGACGGAAGGAGCAGTAGCGATGCTGACGAGCGGAGAGCAAGGGAGCGATGTGAAGCCAGTGCTTCAAGTGGCGGACCTGAGGTTGGTGAACACGCAGAACCAGAGCAACGAGAGGTATCGTATCTTGCTCTCCGATGGTTCGCATCTCCAGCAAGGTATGCTTGCTACTCAGAAGAACGATTTGGTTCGGTCTCAGAGTTTGCAGAAGGGTTCCATTGTTCAGTTGACTCAGTTCGTCTGTAATGTCATCCAAGGCCGCACGTAAGTCCCTTTTCATTATCTTCTGATTCAGTTACTTCTATATCCGTATACGCACATGTATTTTTTTATTTTATTTTAATTATAGTGATGCTGTGTGTGTTGAATAATGGTCTAAAAGTTTATCTTTTTTACTAGCATGAGTGCACCATTTGATGTATAATTGACTATTAAGATAATTATAGGTTCAAATTTTGGGTTTTTTTCTCTATAAAATGTTCACTGCCTGTTGTTTATGTACTATTTTGTTGAGAAGTGTTCAAATTTTGGGTTTACTGCCAGTATTTTATGTACTAGCAAGTTGTGTTCTCATTGTTGGATATGATATTTTTCATTGCACTGAAAAGTTCACTGTAGTAATGAATTAATGAAATTTAGTTTCAAGCACAATAGATGTAATTTACTCTGTGTTGATTCACTGCAACTAAATTAATTATGTAAATTGTAGTTTTGCATAGTCTTTCATGCTACCATGTTATCTTTGCTATACTTGCATCAGTTAAAGTAAAAAATAAAAGACGTAATCTACATGATTACATATAAAATTTTATAGTTCTAGAACATTGATGTCGGCAAGAAGTCGTTAGTCGGTGAAGTTAAAAGTAACGGAAGAGTTATGTTCCATTTCAATTTTTCTGATGCTTTAACTCTCTCATGTGCACTTGAGAGGGCCTTCAAGTGTTCTTTCTAAGGAGCTTGATTAATTTAAAAATAATAGATTGCATTTTATAGATGTCTAATTGTTAAAAGAAAATTTCTCTAATGTTTAAAACGACCTGAAATTCTACTTGTGTGATATATATCAACTCTACCCCCTATCGTACCAAATTTAAAGCACACTGCATATCACGTTTCTCATACCGGATTGATCTGCATTAGCATAGGTCTGGATTAATCATTTAGTGGTCCTTGCATGTTTTTAATTTTAGCAATTTGTTAGTCAATTGGCCAACTCTTTTTATAAGAATTCTGAGGATCGTTATGAGTTGGGGTTGGGGGATATTTAAGTTAAGACTGATGATTAGTATGACTGGTTTATAATCAAAGTGGACATTAATTTGCTGAAAACAAAGGTATTATAAAGAAACTAGTGTTTTTCAAATGAGTAAAGCCTTATTATGAGTTATGTGGAGAGTTCAATCTTGGCCTATGATGAATGCTGGTGATTGTTTCCGATGCAAGAGAGGTTGGTCATCCTACCCCAACTAAAAGTTTTGAATTCATTAGTGTCCATGTATGGCTACCTTCTAGAAGTCTTAGAAAACAATGATGGCTCTGTAACAAGTTTTGTTACCCCAATTTTTTTTTGTGAATTGAGGCTTGATCCCACTTGAAATTGCTATCTGCCTTGACCTCAGTTATGTTTGTAACTAACTTCTCTTTTCCCTCTGTAATTCAAAGTCCATCTATATCCATACCAATTTGATCCCAATTCTGAAAATTGGCTTCAACAATTGATTGAAATATCAAATTCATTTTCTTGAGGATGGAAAAAATCTAAATTAAAAACACAAAGGTTCCGTTTGGTTTAGTTTTAAAAATCAATTTTGAAAGATAAGTTTTTAAAAAGAGTTTTTAATATTTAAAAATTTGTTTGGTTGTATATTTTGAAAATAATTTTGTAGTTGGAGTTTTATAATTTGGGATGATTTGTAGTTTTTTTTTGTAGTCGAATAGATGTGTGTGAGAGAAAAAGTAATTGATTGATGTGTAGGATGTGAGAGAATGAGAGGAGAGAGAAAAAAAAGTGATTGATTGATATGTGGCATGTGAGAGAAGGGGAGAGAAGAGGAGCTAGAAAAAGTGATTGAAAACAATTTTGAGAAAATTGTAAACTAAACAAATTTTGGATTTTGAGCTCTCAAAAAATGTTTTCAAAACTAAACCAAACACAACCAAAGTGTATCTGTAGAAGTTAATAATTCATATAGAGGTTTGAGAATGGCTTGGTACCTAAATTCTAATCATAAGAGTAGTCCTCTCAAAATTGCACTTCTCATGTCTTCTTTTTCTCAAAAAACAAATATTGGAATCTCTATTAAATATCATCTATAATTCAATATTATAATAAGATTGTAGAATCAATTTTTTTTTAATGCATTTCCATATTTTTGCTATTATTGATTGAAACAAATGACCACATAAATTTCTGTTCCACTTGACAATTGCATTAGGTAAATTCTGTTGATTACTTTATATAATATTGGGTAAATTACATTGACACCACTTGAGGTTTGGTCCAATTACTACTCACTCCTTGACGTTTTGGAAATTACATTCCCACCCCTATGGTTAATAGTCTTATTTTACAAACCTCCCCTGCTTATATAAAAAGTAACAACTCCTAATAGAAAAACAAAGGAAATTACATTAAAAAAAAAAGTAAAGGAAAGAGGAAAAAAAAGAGAAAGTAAAGCAAAGCAAAAAAAGAGAGAATGCATGAGTTCTATGTTTTTATTCCGTCTAAATAATTACAATGACAGGGGGATTAGTGTAATTTTCCAAGCGTCAATGGGTGATATGTATTAAACCCAAACCTCAGGGGGTGTAAGTGTAATTTACCCTATAATATTTGTTTCCATTTTTCTGTATACATTGATCATTGACAATTTTGATCCCTTTCTTTTAAACAGGATTATTATTATCATAGACTTGAATGTGATACTTGACAAGTGTGATCCTATAGGCGAACCAAAACAATACGAGCGACCTGGCATCAATACGGGTGCTGCTCCAGGGGCAAGACCTTCTGCACAGATGCAGTCTAACATGGATCAGCCGGGGACAGTTACTGGTAATCCACCATCTTATGTTGGTAGTTCACTGGGTGGTTCAGTTGTCAAACCAAATCTACCTGGTGGAACTCTTCCAAACCAACCTACAATAGATCGTAGTGCAGATTCACATTCCTATGGTGGAGGTTCCTTTGCCAGCAATCCTGACTCTGGACGATATAATGCAACAAATACCCATGTTATGTACCCCAAAACAGAAATTGGTGCTGGGATTTCACGGGCTCCAATGAATAATTATGGGCGTCCACCTCAGGCAGCATATCAACAGCCACCTCCAATGTACACAAACAGAGGGCCTGTAGCTAAGAATGAAGCTGCGCCCAGGATAATTCCAATTGCTGCTTTGAATCCATATCAGGGAAGGTGGACAATTAAGGCCCGAGTGACAGCAAAGGGGGAACTTAGACACTACAATAATCCTCGGGGTGAAGGCAAAGTATTTTCCTTTGATCTTCTTGATTCTGATGGTGGAGAAATTCGAGTGACCTGCTTTAATGCTGTTGCTGATCAGTTCTACAACCAGATTGAATCTGGTAAGGTGTATTTGATCTCGAAGGGAAGCCTTAAGCCTGCTCAGAAAGCTTTCAATCATCTTCGTAATGATCATGAAATTTTACTGGACAGTACATCAACAGTGCAACCTTGCCCTGAGGATGATAACTTAATTCCACGCCAGCAATTTCATTTCCGTCCCATAATCGATGTTGAGAGCTTGGAGACCAACAGTATTGTGGATGTGATTGGCGTTGTATATTTTATCAGTCCATCTACTTCAATAATGAGAAAAAATGGAACTGAAACTCAAAAGAGGGTTCTCCAGTTGAAGGACATGTCTGGAAGAAGTGTTGAATTGACTTTATGGGGAAATTTTTGCAATGCTGAAGGACTTGAAATGCAAAAGATGTGTGATTCTGGGCTATTCCCTGTTCTGGCTGTGAAATCTGGTAGAGTTAGTGAATTTAATGGGAAGGCAGTGGGAACCATATCTTCAAGCCAGTTGATCATAGAGCCAGATTTTCCGGAGGCTCGCAGGCTAAAGGAATGGTTTGAAAAGGAGGGACGAAACATTCCATCTGTTTCTATATCAAGGGAGACAACATCTATAGGAAGAACAGATGTCCGGAAGACTATATCCCAGATTAAAGATGAGAAACTAGGGACTTCTGAGAAGCCAGACTGGATTACAGTCAGTGCGGCTATCTCGTTCATGAAAGTAGATAATTTCTGCTATACAGCATGTCCAATCATGATTGGGGATCGACAATGCAACAAGAAGGTTACGAACAATGGAGATGGAAAATGGCGGTGCGATAGGTGTGATCAATCTGTTGATGAGTGTGATTACAGGTATATTCTGCAGTTTCAGATACAAGACCACACCGGTTTAACATGGGTAACGGCTTTTCAGGAATGTGGTGAGGAAATAATGGGTATATCTGCGAAAGATTTGTATTATTTGAAATACGAAGAGCAGGATGATGAAAGGTTTGGCGAAATTGTGCGGAAAGTACTGTTTAATAAATTTGTATTCAAGTTGAAAGTGAAGGAGGAGATGTTCAGTGATGAACAGCGCGTAAAATCTACAGTGGTCAAAGCAGAGAAAGTTAATTTCTTATCAGAGTCTCGGTTTCTTCTGGATTTGATGGATAAACTCAAAGTAGAGAACGTTGGTTCTTCAGCCCCGATGACGGATAATGTCTTTCTGAACACTGGAGTAAATAGTCCTGGATCGGGAAGTGTTGGAGCTAGGCAACCTCCTCTGCCCAGTGCAAGTTACATGGGAAGTACTAGCAATGCTGGTGGGGAATTTGGGCTACCAGCAAATCAAGTGGGTCAGTATGTGAACCAGTACAGTAGTTCTAGGCTTCCTACAAGTGGATCTACTGGTATGTACTTAAGCTGCAATAGCTGTGGTGGTTCGGGGCATAGCTCTACAAACTGCCCTAGTGTTATGAGCGGTCAGGGACAGTCATACGGAGGTGGCTTTGCTAATAGGGCATCTCCTGGGGCAGGTGTGGGTGGTGGTGCATCGGGTGAGTGCTTTAAATGCAATCAATCAGGGCATTGGGCTAGAGATTGTCCTGGTTTGAGCAATGTACCTGCTGGGGCAGGTGTGGGTGGTGGTGCATCTGGTGAGTGCTTTAAATGCAATCAACCAGGGCATTGGGCTAGAGATTGTCCTGGTTTGAGCAATGTACCTCCAGCCTATGGAAGTGGCAGTGTCACACCCGGAAGATATGGGGGTGTTCCAAAGCAAAGGGTTGGCGGCTTTTGAGGTTAGTTGGAATCGAGATTGTAAAGATCTGTGCAAATATATGCCTGTGCTGTCAAGATGGGGGTTCCAGTTTTGTTTGGGGACTAGTGTTGTGATGTGTTTTCTCCATGCAGTAATGGGGGTTACGACGATGTTTGGCTTCTTACATTAGCTGTTAGAACTCGAGATGAATTTCTATCACATGATGTAAGCATAGTTAGATGGGGTCTAGGTTGTGTGGCTAGGTTTTGTGGACATGCATGGTCTGGAAGGGTTTGGTTTTCTTCTCACTGTTTCGTGTAAATTATTTCTCATGGTTTTCTGTTTTTTGGGAAGGATTTTGAACATAGTTTAGTATGTTGGCTTTAATATGATTCATGCAAATCTGAAGTTGATTGTTGTGATAATATAAGAAGTTGAAGAATGAGAGCAATAGTAAAATGGGGTGTAGAGAGAAATAGTTCCACTAAGCTGGGCTTTGGAAGGCAAGCCCACTTAAATATTAAAGGCCTAAAGTGTATCCCAAAGGGTAAATAAAGTTATAATGCCCAAGTTGCTCCATTTGGGCCTTTATTGCTTTAGACGTCCCTATCTAGCATGATCCTTATTGACATCAGAGGTTGTCCATAGGCCAACCTATAAAACGTATGTGATGTTTGACAAGAGAGAAAAGAAAAGAAAAGAAAGTGAAGGAAGAAAAAGAGCATAGAGAAATATTTAACTCTTTGTTTGACTGGAGACAATATTGAGAGAAATTTGAAGGAAAAAACAAAAAGTCGGTGAACATTGTTTGGATATTTGTACTTTGTGCTTGATTTGTGTATGTCATAACCAAAAATATGGTGTGCCTAGCAATTTTTTCTTGATGATGTCGGTATCGACTATAATATTACTTATTTGTTAGATTTGAGTACATTATTTGCCCAAATCCATAGGAAATTCAACCTCGGACCTATAAATTACTTGTAAGAGCAATTGAAAACAGTAATATTGGGTAGCCAACAATATAACTAGCAAGTTTGCTCTTTCTTATCTATTTTGTTTCAAAATGGAGATTATAAGGAACTTAATAAGAATGAAAAAATAAAGGAATATTATCCATTCCTTCTCATCTTTTTTTTTCTCCGCCAAACACGGCATTACATGCGTAAAACTAAGAGCAAGATTTTGAGATGACTTTGGAGGCTTGGATCACAAATTACAATCACATGTAGTGTTTGTCCTTGCTATGAGACAACCGACAGGAGTTAGTGATTATAATATTTCCTTTACTTTGGATACCAATTAAATGATTATTTCTTGGTGTTTTACATCCATTTATAATGAATTTTTTGTAATATTTTTTAGTACTGAATTAATCTTAAGAATAATTTTTTTAACAAAAAGATTATTACATTTCACTTTCATCATAATGAATCAAACAATACTCTTATTTTATCAATCAAAACATTAAAATAAATATTCTAATTGAAAAATCATTCTATTTAGATTTTCATTATAGTAATATTTGCCAATGAGAGTGGAGTTGGACACAGGAATGAAAATTAGGAAAATTTACAAATTAGTGGTACTATCTTAAAATAATTACATGTTTATAGAAAAGTCTATGACTTTAATCATTAAAGTGTGTAAAATTTTCCATGAATTTGTAATTATTTTTCAAAAATAACACTGATTTGTTATTTCCCATAAAAATTAGGGTAAACTACCAATAAGTCTTACTTTTGAGACTTATTACTCATTAAGTCCTATTGATAAATTTATTAAGTGATAAATTGATCAGTCTCTTGTTTTTATAAATAAATTTACCAGTCTCTTATTTTTATAGTGATAAATTTATCAATTAGGATCTGTAAATAAATAAGCCTAGTTAATAGGATTGATTGTTAAACGTCTCTAAAAATTATTACTCCAACTTGGGTATAATGAGTGTGTGTTAATCTTGATAAAAACAGGCAAAGGTTGATTGCTGAAGTATACTTACATTCAAGTAGGGGTGTACACGGTCCGGATTGGTTCGGTTTTGAGAAAATTCAAGAATTGAACCGATCCGATCCTAACGGTTCTGTGATCTTGAGAATCAGACCAGACCGTTACACTTGTAAAACCGGACCAGAACCAAACTGAAAAAACGGTTCGGTTTCGGTTTGGTTTACAGTTCAAAAAATTTCTATTTACAAGAATAAATTGTTAATATTAGCAAAATAATTACTCCAACTAATTACATTTAACTCATGATAAAAACTAACAATATTAAGGCATTACTTAATATTACATATCTATATCATCCTAATATCATTAAAATTATAAAAAATCAATTAATAAAAATAAAACTTGATATTATATTATATATATATATATATATATCTTTTAAAATTCAGTTCAGTTCGAACCGCGGTTTTTTCATAAAATTCGTTAACCGAATCGTTTTCACGGTTCTCATATTTCTTAATCCGAAATCGAACCAATTCTTAATGGAACAGAATCAAACCGTATAATTCGGTCTGATTTAGTCCGGATTACCGGTTTGAACAGATTTTTGAACAGCCCTACATTCAAGTCACCCCACAATTACAATCATAAAGGTTGTGGGAATTATGTTTTTTTCGAGAGTCTGTAGCGGCGTTGATAAAGAAAATAAAATACTCTATGCAATAATTGCAAGCACTAATTAACTCGTCTATTCCGATCTAAAAAAAAAAAAAAAAAACTTTACTCGTGTACAACATATGGCATTCCTTAACAGATGTGTATTTATCATTTAAAAAAAAAATTGTTAATTAATAAATGAAAATTAATTAAAAAAACACAATAACTAACCAATTTTTCATTAGCAAATAATTAATAATGACTAAATATTTTGATCCAAATTTATCTTCAACTTGATCCACACACCCCTTATTTGGTGGAAAAAAAATCTGACCGAGGGTTGTAAATTAAACCATTCCTTAACAGATGTGTATTTATCATTTAAAAAAAAAATTGTTAATTAATAAATGAAAATTAATTAAAAAAACACAATAACTAACCAATTTTACATTAGCAAATAATTAATAATGACTAAATATTTTGATCCAAATTTATCTTCAACTTGATCCACACACCCCGTATTTGGTGGAAAAAAAAATCTGACCGAGGGGGTTGTAAATTAAACCATCAAAGTGTTTTTGTTTTTTTCTCCCTTAAATAATGTGTTCTCATTTCTTTTGGGAGCTGTCTGGGCTATATAAAGTAGTCTAAAATAAAATACATTACATATAGTCCACAAATAAGATTACAGATATATCATTTTTTTATCAAATAAGATTACATATTTTTTACTGCCTGCTTATGATAAAAAGGGGAATAGATCCATTTTCTTGAGGATATGTTTAGGATTCTATGAGCTCTACTCCCACTTTGAATAGGTGATAAAAAATATCTTATGTGCCAATGCCTAAGCATATGATTAGATTTGAACTCGTATAACTTAGTTTTCACTCTTTGGTGGTTTACTTAATAGAATGATAATATGAAATGTGACTAATTGTTCTAAAGGTGATATTCAATAATCTCCCATATAAAAAATTAGCAATCCACACTAGACTACAAATCCAGCCAAAAAATGCCAGATTAGAAAAGACTAGAAGATAAAGTCACGTATTTTTAAATCCCTCCAATTCTTCCACATAAACATGATTTAAATGTACAAATAAAACATGGAATTAGGAGTCCCCCAAATGGGGATTAGTAATCCAAAATCGGATTATAAATATGACCAAATAACTGTCCAATCAAAGTGATTTGGGGACAAAACTAATCCCTATATCCCCTAATTCAATTTGAAGTGTGCTCTAATTCATCCAAACAAACAAGGCCTAAAATGAAAACAATGACAACACAATGTTACATTTGTAGGCAATGTGGGTGAGGGGGTTGGGTTAGTGAGTGAGGTGGGTGCACTCTCACATGGGAAGTCACATGGCATAATAGAATGATTGGGGAGAGATAGTTTTGTAATTCAATCATCTAATAGCGACATGTCTTCCTCCCTCCTCACAATAAATTAAAGGGATACTTATGTGTAAATCTTAATAAGTGAATTTATTATCTAATAGGTCTTACGACAAAAATTTGCCATAAAAAGTCACTAATTGTAAGTTTTAGTAATAATTTAAAAAAATCATAACAAAAAAAGTCACTAATTGTCAATTTTTAGCGACGTATGTAAAAAATTGTCACAAAAATTATTTTTAACGATAATCTTATCAAGACTTATTTTTAATAGGATTTGATGAGAATTAAATCTAATTATTAGCATCTATTGATAATTTACCCTAAATTAAAACTATTTCATATTACATAATATAGTATATCATATGCTATCTTTCATGTAAGAGGTCTGCATCATATTATTTATTTGTAGTCTTTGAATGTTGAACTCCATCTTCATGCATGAAAATCAACATCGTCGGCTGCCCACCTTTTTTGCTATAACAATGATTCATTCTACTAAAAATATCACCACTAATAGCACTAATGCATTAAAAAAGTAAAAAAAAAAAAAATACAACTCCAAAACCAAAACATCACATCATTAATGGCGAGACCCACTACCACCTAATTAGTGGGAGCACTAATTAGTGCTCCCAAGCATTTTTCTTTTTGCTATATAATTAAATTTGCCCCCATTTGGAGGGAGGGACACCACTAGCCCATGTGTACCTATTCAATTCATTCAAACCCCTCCCTCTCATCAACTTGACTTAATTGTTGTCACGTGTTTGAAAGCTCTAAGTGTTTAAAATTTAAATTTATTCACGTCATCTAAATTAGAATGAATTTAATTCATATACTTTAAATTTTAAATATTTTTTTAAATATTTAATATTATTTTGAATGTATCTGATTTATATTTCAGATTTAAAAACACTTTTTCTAAATTTTTTTTGGGATAGATAATGGTGTTGTGTGAGATTATCATCACTATCCCACTAGCAAACAATGTTGAAATATTTACACAAAATGAAATCATGTTATTAAAATGTTTAATTGAAAAGCAACAAAAGAAAAAAAAAAAAAAAAACTCAAATCCAACAATACAATAAATAACTCAATAATAGGATGAAATGATCATCATTTATCTTTGTTAATAATCGATCCCTCCTTTATCGGATGGGGTGAAATCTTAATTTGCCCTATAATGTCCCAAAATAATCCAACATAAATTTAACATATCAACCCACGTCCACTAAACAATACTAACAATGCTCCAATCATTACACCATCAATCAACAAGATTTATACAAAAGTTTCACATGCGAATTATATATTCAATGATATGGAAATATATGAATTTATAGCATGTAGGATGTCGTGTTCCAAAAATAATAAAATGCTTTCATGGGCTTACAATTTCTAAGGCTTAAGTCCGGTTACACAAAA